CCGTGTGTCTCTGGACAAACTAAGGGCTCCCAGGGCTGAAGGACTATTGTCCCTAATTATATGGAATATATAGAGGAATATACAGGGTGTCCCCCCCCAAATGCATATACACAATGTCTGTAGGTTCTATTACATTTTGAAAATGAAATGTATTTTAATAAACATTGCCTTTATAATTATTCAAAGTGTGTGTATACATTTTTTGGGGACACCCTGTATATCTATTCCTCTAAATCTTGCAACACAATATGACCGTGCTCTTTTTTAAGCTGCCATGTAGCCATCGCACACTAAAAATAACGAACATAATGGACCAGCTCACATGCCAACCTCATTACCATCAGTAGCTCCCCATCGTATGTTGAACGGCAGGCATTTACATGGCTCTAAGAGCTAAGCACTGTTTTGAGCGTTTCCACATGGTTACTCATTTAAAACTTACAACAGAACAGAGAGGTAACTGGCCTGAAGTCACATGGAGCCAGGATTCACACTCAGGAAGTCTTGTTCTTCATTGCTACTCAATATTGGGGTGAAGCTCTGTGGATCCGGTTTTTTTTCTAATCCTGACTTCTACTAGAGCCCTCGAGTGCCTGGTGCTGGAGTCATACAGATGTGCTTATAGGGCCCAAGCAGATCTTGGTGCAGAGTTGGGGACGTGCTGCAACTGGGAAGGATGGGACTTCTCACTTCTGTTTACCTGCCTGCAAGCACGTGACTCTGTCACAGCCCTGATCTTTCTTGAGAGTGAAGATCAAGTCCTCTCTCTTCTGAGAAGTCTTCCTCGATTCTTAAGCACTGTTAAGTTTCTCCTTTCGACTGTCCAGAAGCATTGCTGGGACTGCGGTCATTGCACCTATGCGAATTGTTTACATTTCCGTCTTCCTGAGTAAGCGCGGTCAATGGTGAGATCCTAGGGGACAGGGTCTTTTCTTTCCTACCTCTGTAGGCCACTCAGCACCACGTACATAGTAGGCATCTGCTATAACACATTTCCTGTGTAGACTCTCTGTGTGCAAGGAGCCACTTGTCTCTGATTGTGTTTAATTACTGTTCTGGGTGTGTATGTGTTTTTCACAATGAAGTTTGAAATGCAGAGGAGTTAGCCAAGGTAATCTCATGTCTAACATGGTGGCTGAGGAGCACTCCATAGATCGTCGCCTTGGTCTTAGCTTAACTGCTGAAGAAATGAAAGAAACTTAAAGAACTCTTGGGAAATCCTATAGTGCTTCTGGCTGTGCCATTCCTTGCTGCTTTCCTCTGGTTACCATCTGTAGTTGTGTATATGTCATATTTCCCCTTGTGAATGCCTTGGAAAGGACATTCCTTTGTGTTCGTTGTGCCGAATATATCAGGTGCTCAAAATAGAAATGTGTAATGTTGATGGTAGTGATGGTGTCCAGATGGTATCATCAAACACTGGAACACCGTGTTCATAAAAATACTTATATTTATTGAAGGAATGAATGAATGTGTGCCTCCCCCTAGGTGGGGACTGAGATGATCTCATTCTGACTGACCCACAGTTTCACTGTTGGGGATCTGATATCCCAAGAGTTAAGGCCTTGTCAGTGGTCCAACGGAGCAGGGATTTCAACCCAGGCATTTTCCTTCATCTCCCATTGCACTTGGTCTCATCTACATGGTAAAATTTGGGCCTTTGGAAGGAAATGAGGGTTTCTTTAAAAATGTATTTAATTACACAGACTAACCTATACAGACAATGAATTATATAATGGAGTTTTCTAGATAGGACCCCTGCCCCCATGCCCCCCAAATTATTTTTCTTTTAGCTTGCTCCCAAAAAACTTTGGGAAAATCATCAGTCCATTTCCCTGCCTAAGCACTATATTCTGACCTTAACTTAATCTTTTTCCAGTTATTTATTTATGTATTTATATACTTTTATTCTTTTTTAAAATCCTCACTTGAGCTTTGGTTGCCTCCCGCACTCGCCCTGACCAGGGCCAGGGATGGAGCCTGCCACCGAGGTGTGTGCCCCTTGGTCGGAGTCGAACCAGGATCCTTTGGTCGGCAGTCCGACGCTCTAACCCCTGAGCCAAACCACCCAGGGAGGGCTCTCCAGTAATTCGGAATCAGGCAATGCCATCAGCTCACGTCAGCAAGCCCTGCTCAGCAGTGTAACCGAATAGGTTTAGGGAGTTGGGTTAAATATCTACCTCACAGCAGACCTGAAGATAAAGACAATCCCAGGCACCCTGGTTGTTTGGTCACTGTTTGTTTGTTGTTCCTGCACGTTGAGAAAGTGATGGATGGGAGAGAAGGAACCATGTAACTCAAAATTCTAGTGAACTGGGTTCCGACTAGTCTCAATTTTGGATGCTTCAGTGATTTACGTATGGCTGAGTAGTACCAGGTACAGATGCATGTGATGTAAAATAAACATAAGTGGAATTTGGTAGTAGAAAGAATAGAGGTTTTGGGGTCAGACAGCCCTGGCTTTGAATCCCAGCTCTACATATTATCTCTGAGCTATAGGGCTGTTTATTTCACTTCCCTGGATCTCGTTTTCTTTCACATAAGATGGAGATACGAAAAAGTATCTCATAGACTTGTGTAGGTTCCTTCCCAAAATCCTCCACCCCTCACCCTCCCAGCAAAAGAGAAGGTAGATTTATGACGTAATGCCATACACTAAAAATAAGGGTAAAAACATATAACATGGGTTTTATATGTAACTAATGGCTGACTAGAGTGCTAATTAGATTAATATGGCTTGGTAAAAAATCTTTTAAGGGAATTAGGAAGACTCAGACATTTGTAGAGATAAGACATGTTAATGGGATACCTTCTTTGGTTCTATTAATGTTGTCATTCTTGACTACAAATGATGAATCTTACAGAATGGGAGATACTGAATAAAGCTGATTCCACTTAAGTTTTCTTTAGCAAATTTGAGAAGCCACCCTTGGGGTCGCGTGTCAGCCGCCAGCAGAAGTTTGAAAGCACCTACATGCAATGAAGGGCGAGGTATACATTTACTAAGGGGCACAGCGATCCCACCGTGCTGTGACCCTCTGTCTGCGAGTCGCTTCTCTTTGGGCAGATGGGCGAGGGGCAGGATTCCAGCGTGGGGAGGAAGGGGAGCCCTGGGCAGGAGAAGGGGGAGTCCTACACCAGCCGAGCGGATTCCCCTGCGGGAGAGAGAGGAGTCCAGTTTCTATGACGATCCGCGGCCCTCTGCCAAGACTGCCAGCGGGGTGCCCGGCAGCGCTAATTGCTGTGTGCACATTGTTCATTAGACTCTGACCTAGAATTCCTGTCACCTTTCGCAAGGTCGGCAGCGAGTTGCGGCCTTGGCCCGTGCTTGGTCTCCTTCATTCTAGGTGTGACTAGGGCCAGACGCGCAGCTCCTGCAGGTCTCCACCCGCCGCAGTGGGAAGGTTCCTGCGAGGTGACTCTGGTGGCGGGCGAAGGTTTTCCTGGAAGCAGAATGTTAATTGGCAGCCTAGAGCTCGGAGGGAACTGGTTGTCATCCTGCTCACCGCTCAGAGGCTCTGCGATGCTGGGCAAACCGTGGGACTCCTATGAGCCAGTCGTCTCACCAGTAAAGTGGGGACAACGATATTTCCACCCTCACGGGGTCACCTGTGGTGTGTGTGTGGGGGGGATGGGAAGAATCCCTGATGCCCGGGTTGGCATCTGCAGCCAGCCACCGCCTGGACCCTTGGGGTCTCCCTATGGAGCTGCATCCTTAGTGACTCAGTTTCCCTCCCTTCATCCGTCGCCCTCCTGGAGCCTGGGAGCACGGAAAAGCCCTGAGGAAACCTCTGACGGCCAAATAGAGGAGTGAGGTCAAAACAGGTTTTGCCGCCTCTCTCAGTAACCAATTTTATGTTTTTGTACAACTCTCATTTTATACTCTAATCTTGTTTCTAGAATTCTGGACGGGACGCTGGGACATCTTTACTTTGGTTAGCTTAGATGGAGCACGCTGGGAGGGGGGAGGTTCAGGTGCATCCTACCTAAAGAACTAAAACCAGTGACCGGGACTAAACATTTATTGAGCACCTAATACATTCGAGATACTGAGGACAGAGAGAGCGTGATATAAACACGGGGGCTGTGAAATCATGAGCTTCTGTCAAGGTCACACAGCAGTTGCAAAAATGAGGCCAAGTCTCCCTTTGCCAGCTCTGCATCGTCTCCCTGCTGGGCCTCGTGTGTGTAATTTGCAACGTTAGGCCCTGCTTGGCCTCGGTTCCGGGGCTCCTAGGACGCAACAGCACTGCCTTTCTAATCCGTGCCCCGAGCGGAGCTCAGGGATGAAGTCACTGGGAACGAGCGCTGAGGTTCCTCCGGGAACGTTTCAGAGCGAGGTGGGAATTCGGCACCGCCACCTTCCCACGGATCGTTCCCCGGGGGCAGCGCGGTGGCAGAACAGTTTCCAGGTTGGATTTTATTGGTGTAGAAGCAACTGGACAGTGAACGTAGGAAAAACTCTTTGGAAGTTTGTGTGTTTTAAAGCATGTAGTACCAATACCCACATGAAGTTTATTCCCCCCCCTCCGTGGTTGTACTGTGACTTTGAATGAAACCAGTTCATTTCCACGGTGTCCAGCCCAACACCCTGTGTGACTGATGCTGGAGCGGGTGCTGCCCCAGCTGTGACTCACGGGACACACTCGTGCAGGGGAGGGGTTATGCCTTCCTGCATTGTTAGCTGATGCAACTTTTGGGTTTTCTCCGTGCACATCGCCCTAGTCTCCTCTAAACTTGGGCATTTTCTCTTGTCACTGTAGTCAAAACACCTAAATGTCAAATGTGTCTTTTCCCCGCCAGCTGCATTAAAAGAACAGTCCCCTCAGCCCCATTTTTTCCTGCTGGTGCTGTCAGCCTCTTGAGAGCACAGCTCCCAGGCGTGCCGGCAGGGTGGGCAGCAAGGCCCGGAGCATTCCCGGCCTGGGCGGGGCTCCGTGAGGGCACCCCGGGTGCCACATCTGGGGGAGTCTGGGTGATGAAAGGTGGCAGCTGCGACGATGGGTGAGCAGCCGGTTTCCGGGAGGCAGGGCCAGGCTCCCTTCTTATCCCTTCCACCTCCATCCAAATACCATTTGTGTGAATCAGCTGCCAGTTGGCCTCAAGGGACTTTGCTGCCAGATGCTCCCCTTCCCCCCTCTTGACGTGAGAGCCAACCCCTTCCCGGCTCCCCCATCTGCAGCCCACGTTCTTCTGGGGCTGCTTGATGACCACACAGCTGTGCTCTCCTCTCTGCTGCAGAATGTGCACAGGACGCTGATGGTGACAGTGAAGGGACTGGACTTGCTCCCGGGTCACGCCAGTGAGCACCGTGGCTGCCCTTTCTCTACCAGGTTGCGTACTTACTGTGTGTGGGTTTATATGCCGAATGCAGGACCCATGCCATCTCATCTCTGCTCGGTCACCATCGAGGATGCCAGCTGTGCTCCTCTGGGCATTACTGCTGTGGCAGAGGAGCTGGGTTTCAATCCAGGTCCAGTGTATACTCTCCTGCATAGACAAAGACTCTAGAATGGGAGGGACCGGGGACCCCGCTCTTGTAGGTCAGAGACTGCAGGCTGCAGGGGAACCGAAAGTGTCTCAGGTTGGGGTCTCTCCCTAGCTGTGATGGTAGAGACAGGCTCAGGGGCACCTGGTGTGAGTTCCTGCAGGAGTCCTCCATTCTCTGGGAAGACTGCCCGTGGGGATACTGAGTCTGAAATGACAGAAGGCCCCTGCCGTGTGGAGCAAGTCGCCCACTGCTCCTGGCCCATATGCAGCCAACGCCGCGCTGCTCCTTCTGGCAGCGGCCGTGGTGGCTGCTGCTCCAGGGTCCTCTGCCTCACCCACTTGCCACCCTGAGTAACTCCGGAGGTGAGTGCATTTGGTGGGCGGGCCCCACCTTGTCGCTGCTACCCTCGCCTGGTGTGGGTGGTGACTCAGCTGGCCCGCGGGACTGCCCTCGATCACCGCCACCCCTGCCCAGAATGCTCCCGTACCCTGGATTAGCACCTGAGACAGCTTCTGCTGGCACACGCTTGCAGAATTTTCCACTCCACACCCTGGCTTCACCACCGGCCTCCTCCTTGCACACCATTCTGAAGCAAGTTGGAAATCCTGGGGAACTGTGTGCAAAGCTGGACACTTGGTGTCTCTGTCCAAGTCCCTTTGTCTGTCTTTTGCTTGTGGCTGCCCTTCTGATCATTTAACTACAATCACAAGATTTCAGAGATGAATGAACTGCGGTGTCTTATTTATGGGTCTTTGGTTGTAAACAAAAAGCCTGGCTAACTTCACACAGTGGGGAGAGAGAGAGACCCCAGCTACGCCATGCAGCTTTGGTAGGACACCTGTGCTGACCGAGGCTGCATGCTGCGGGGAGGAGCACACCGAGAAGGGGGCCAGCGCTGCTCAGGCACAAACAACAGGAAAGTGGAGGTACCTTTGCCACTGTCTGAAGCATCTGACGTTACTGCGAGACCTTCTCTCTGCTTTAGGTTCTTCAGAGCCTAGAGTTCAACTTGGGTAGTAAAAATAAACAGTTTGCTCTGAAAGCAAAACATGTGAATGGATTCTGGATTGAAGGCTTGTTCAGCAAATAGGAATGATCATAAGGACAAGTAGTTTAGGCAAAATACAGTCAACATAAATTTGTAGAGTTCACGAAAGATCTAAGATAACTGTCAGAACCTAAAGCAACCGACAATAGTTCTTGAACATGAAGATGTCTTTACTATGGAGAGTTTGATGTTTCTTGGATTTTCTTTCCCTTTTGCTAATAACTAGCATTTCGTAAGATTTCTCTTGTAGGAGCTATGCTCATAGGCCAAGACACTGATGGAGATGGGCCGCAGCGATCGGCGCTATAAAAGTCGAGTCTGTTGCGGCTAAAATCACAATGAATTATTAAAGAGTCGGCAATGCATGTGCCTCCCACTGCACTGCCGGAGCTCACCGCTCACTCTGTGGTTTACTCCTCTCCTCTGTGAAAGGAGTGAGCGCCCCTAAAAACTTGTTAGATGGAGATGGCTCATTGCGTGCAAAATGCAGATGGTTTTAATTTTAGAGTTGAGTCTAGAAAACTGCTTTTTGAGGTTTATTGGAAACCCTCGGCTTCAGCTGGCAAAATGGTCGGATCCTCGATGGGGAAAAGGGAGCGAGTTGAGGGATTGAGCACAGCCCCAAAGAATTCAGGGTCCTGCCTTTTGTCTCTGCTCCCGGCATTTCCACAGAGAGCCTTTTAGAAATATGCCTGTTTTGTCGCCCTCATTTTAGAATGCAATCACTTTAAAAGCACTAAACTATGCCATTAAAAAATCATCCCAGGATGATTATATTTGCAAAGTAAAGAAGCACTCAGTTTCTTTCTTCCTTTTTCTTATAACTTTCAGAGTAGTTTTTTAAAATATGTTTTTATTGACTTTTAGACAGAGAGGAAGGGAGAAAGATAGAAACATCGATCATCTGCCTCCCGCATGCCCCTGACTGGGGATCAAGCCTGCAACCCGGGCATGTGCCCTCACCGGGGATCGAACTGGTGATCTCTTGGTGATCTCATGGGTTGGTGCTCAACCACTGGGCCACACTGGCTGGGTAGCACTCAGTTTCTTTACTTAAATTCAGGTTTTTGTGTAGATATCACCAAGATGTCAGCTGTCACGTCTATATCGCTCGTTAAGTCAGATAATATCAGCTCAGCTTTCTCCTTCCCTCATCCCACTGTTTCACCGTCTTTGAGAGCCCAGAGATTTTCTTGGGATGTTTGAAAGTTCCAGGGAGCTTATTTCCTCCTGGCCCCTTCTGTCTAAGTCAATCTGAGATAAGCCCCAGTCAAACAGGTTCAAACTCTTCCATGGGTTTCACATTTGGGTGCCAAAGTTCCCATTTCCAGCAAGTATGCCCCGAGTGACAGGTTTTGTTATTTATCATGGGGTCTGATTGACTCGCTCTCCGACCTTTAATCATTCTCTCTGTTTTAGTTGTTCCCTCCCCAAACTTTGTCCTTCAGGGCCTTGGCTTCTACTTCAGGGCTTGTCAAAAGATCTTCTCAAAGAGCTGCCTCGAGGCTGCCCTCGGACCCAGGCAGAAGAGGGCCTTAGGCCTGCGCTCAGAAGACCTGCCCTGGCCCTTCTACAGCTGCTCTCCGTGCCCCACCCCCAACACATGCACTTGAAGGGCAAGAAGTCCCAGGGCCAGGGCACGTGCCCACTTGGTATCTGCATCTCTTTTTTTCACTTTGTGCTTCTGGTATCTAAGATCCTCAGTTCCCTGCCCAAGCTCCCTCCAGCTTGCTCACAAAGGCCTGCACACGTCCCTTCCTCCCGTCCCCCCCTTTCTCCAGAACTGATGGACAGCTGGGCTGCACATCCCAGGCCCATGAATGGCCAAGGGGCAGAGTGTGGGCAGAGCTGAGGTGCCCACGTGCCTGTGAGTGGGGCTCCTGTGGTGCAGGACAGAGCCAGGGAGGGGAGGACTGGGAGACGGCTCTGGGCCACGGATGGGGCTTGGGCTGGATCCCCCAAGGAACCCCAAGTTGTCTGAGAGTTCTTAATTCTAACCCAACTCTCAGATTGTCACGTAGCAAGGTAGACGTGTTGAACCTATTTCCTTCAACTGTTAGTTTCATATATAACTTTTAAATATTTAGATATATGATGCATGCCTTCCATTTGAATTTTTGCCCCAGGCTGGCCTGCTCCACCTACAAAGTATTTTCCTTCTAGACCATAACAGTTTCCACCCCCCATGATATGTAGATTTGTTTAAAGCAGGATACCCCTGGGTCTAAGGGCAAGATGGGGTGGTCGTAAATAACAGGGTTTCTAGATGCTGGGAAGCTAATTGTGTTTCTAAACAACTTATTGTGATCACATATAAGCTTCATCAAAAATATAAATTACAATTATTGGCATATATATTATTAAATGAATCAAGAGAGTTTATAAAATGAATGATAAAAATTTTATAAATATGAGAAAAAGCTTTTAATGGAGCATTAAGTGAAAAAATGTTATAAAATAGTGTATACAGTAAAATGACACTTTTGGTTTTAAAAATATATATCATAAGAAAAAAATGGAAAGAACACATACCAAATGTTAGCGGTCTTTTGGAGATGGAATTCCTGATTATTTTATATTATATACATATGCATATATATATATATATATATATATACACACACACATATATATTAACTCTTCTGCATTGTTTCTGTAGTACTTTTGTAAAATAAGATGAAAACAGTTATACAGGAGAAAACTACTTGAGAGTCACAGTAGTAAAAGACATTGTTGGGTTTCTTTTCACTATTGATTGTATGGCAATAAAATGGTTATATTTTGTTCTATGTTCCACTCAAAGAGAATCTTTTAACACAGTCAGGCCTGTAAGGCCTGGGAGGTTTCCGCTGAGTTTATACACTGCATGTTTAATTTAATTCAATTTTCAGGGAGGTCAGAGGATCAAGTCAACACTCATTGATGGAATAAAGGAAGCTTTTCATTTAATCTGGACCTTCTGTATTGAGATGTTTGCCTATTGCTTTTAAATGTAGAGACGTTAGACTCAGATAGAATTTCATGTGTCATAAGAATATCAAGATTTCCATCAAATCTTATTTATTCTGAGGTCATTGAACAACATAGTGAAACATTTTCAGACGGGCAATTTCTGTAATTGTTACACAGATTTTCCTGGAACTTGGGCCAAGGTTATAAAGCTTTGATGTACTGAGATGGTTCTGTGGTTCATAGACCCCTGGCCTTCCGTGGGCTGTTATTATAAACAGATTGGTCACCAGTTTTTGTGTGTTCTTGTTCAGGGGATTAAAGTGCTTGGATTTTAAATGTCCTGACTAATTGTCTCCGTCAATCCCTATCAGAGTTCATGTGGTTTTATAAGTTGGTGACATTTTCAGCCATTGCACTTTATTTCCTAAAGAATTTCCCACACCTTGGATTTTCCATGGACATAAAAGCTGTGATTCCCAAAAGCCCCCAAAAGTTGTCTGGCCAGATGCTCTTCTGTTTATTTATCTGCAGAGTCCCAAAATATCGTGGAGAACTTTTGGGTAGGAAATCTGGAAGAAAAGACAGGTCAGAAAAAAGACAATATGTATTTTTTAATTTTTTAAAAAAGTTTAAATTTTATTTTTAAATTACACTTTACATTCAACATTATTTTATATTATTTTATAGTAGTTTCAGGTGTACAGCATAGTGGTTATACAATTATGTAATTTACAAAGTGATCCCTCTGATAATCCAAGTACCCACCTGGCA